AGTGGCATTGAACACTCCTAAGTGGCATTCATGTAAATATGCATATAAAAATGACATTTTTGTAATTATCCCTAGAATTTAATTACATTTTGCATAATTATTAATTCGCACAAATGATTTTAATTATCTAACAAAGATTAAAATACATACTAAACATTTTTTTAACAAACTTACGCAAGTCTGGAGCTTATTTACATTTTCTCTCAATCCTCAAAATATTATAATTCGCACAAATGGTTTTAATTATCCAACAAAGTTTAAAATACATACTAAAACAAAGACAATCTACGTCGTCACATTAAAAATTAGAGAAATTAGCAAAAATAACATTAAAAAAAATTAGAATCTAAAAACTAATTAAAATCTACTTTTTTCTCTAACGAATTGGTTAGATTTTATATTAAAGTTTTTTTTTGTTATCCCACAAATTCACCCAAATTATGTATGAGGATATTTTTTTTTTTTTAGTCTCCTATGACTAATTTTTTAATAAGAAAAACTCAGTGGTCATTTTGTTAATTTTCTTTCCATTTATGGTTATTTGATCAACAAACTCTTAATTTAAAAAATTTATTTTGACATTGATGATATTACATTTTTCAGTACTTAATAGTCTTATTTTAAAGGGACAATTACAAAAAATGCTATTTTTTGTGTGCACATTTGCAAAAATGCCACTTAGGAGTGCCTATTTGCAAAAATACCACTAATTATAGATTTATAAAGCATATATCTTAAAATTTTAAACCCTAAAAAATGTTTTGACCTTTAAAACCTCTAAACCCTCATAACTAAACCCTAATAGAACATAATTAACCCAAACATAAATGATATAAAGAAAATATAATTTTGAAAAAGTGGCATTTTTGTAAAGATTTCAAAAATGTGGTATTTTTATAAAGTGGTACTTGAAAAGTGGCATTTTTTGAAATTTCTCTATTTTAAAAGGAATTTGTTGGTGTGACTTTCAAGTTTTAATAACAAATGCTTATAAAAATCATATGTGTATTGATTACTAAATTTCTTGTTACTAATAGTGATCTAAAAATTCAAATGAAATAAATAATTAAAAATTCACTTTTGTTATGAAAACTAAAGAAATATACATGTCATGAATATAAAAAACCAAATGCATAAGTGTTTTGGAAATATATTTTATAGTATTAATAGAATTTGTGTTTAGTTAGATATTGTACTAAATTTAGCTTAATTATGTGGGAAGTTTGTTCTAAAATACCAAAAAAAACAAGATTGTTGTAAATACAATGTAGCACAATAAGATAACAATTAATATAACATATAAAGTTGAAGTTAGAAAAAAATATAACACATGCTAACTTTGAATATATATCCATAAAATTACTAAATCTAGAGAGTTATTATTAAGAGCATCAGTACCATTTTAAAACTATATTTAGAAGACAAGGAACAATATTTTAGCCAAAAAACTATATATAAATATATGTGTTGAGCTCTTCAAACTTCTCACTTATTTCATTTCTGAACGTATTTTTGGTTATATATTTCTAAACAGTTGAAATCTTAAATAAAATGGATCGAAATCTGCTAATTGAAAAAACGTTATCAGATTACGATATTTCTTCTCTAGGTGTGTTGTTGTTGCCAAAATCGAAGACCGAGAACATCATTAGGAAGAGAATTTCATTATCCCGAGATGGTATTAAAGTTAAAATTCACGGTAATAATTTCTAGGGAGATTTACTAGAATGACTTTGTCAAGCAAAGATTTGGATTAGAATGACCTCTATCTTTGAATATTATTAGAATGACTTTGAAAAAATTTTAATTCCTATGTTAACCTTATTTCATTTGAAGATAAAAAACGTATTTACGAAAATACCATTAATGAAGCCGAAATTTTTTCCCGCCAAAATTAAATAAGTCTACCATTCTGTTACGGTAGACTTATTACGGTGTACGCGATGATAGACTTATTTATAGTTGTGGTAGATTTATAATATGTGGTAGACTTATTCGTANTACTGGTAGACTTATTTGTAGTAGTGGTAGATTTATGAAGTNGTCGGTAGACTTATTACGGTGCAGGCAGTGGTAGACTTGTTTATAGTACTGGTAGACTTGTTTGTAGTAGTGGTAGACTTATTGTAAGTTGTGGTAGACTTATTGAGTAATTACGGTAGATTGATGCATCGTAGTGGTAGATTTATTTATAGTTGTAGTAGATTTATTTTTGAGTGATAGACTTATTAGTGGTTGTGGTAGATTTATTGTTG